GTATGACTTCCCTTCGTCCGCCATGGCACAGGCAGGTACAGGGGAGGGCTCAGGCGCAGAACCTGACGACACCAAACGCCCAGACGTCTTGGCGCTCAGGACTGAAGCGCTCCTACGACCGGCGCCACCGCATTTATCCGGCGAAGCACGTCGCGCGCCGCCGACGTCCCCAGGATGTGGGCGGTGCCGCGGGGCGAGAACGCGCTCTCTGCGCCTGCGCAGAAGCAGGGCTGCCTCCAGAGGGCGGGGCCAGGCCCTTCGAGGCCCGCCCACGGCCGTAGCTCGGGGCGCAATGGCTTGTTGGCCGTCTCTGCCTTCCTGCTTCTCCACTGTCCCAGTTGTGTCGGGGTTTGCTCTGGAGTTGAGCGGGCTGCTTTAGCCCTGAATTCTTGAGAATCGGGGACCAGAGCCACACAAAATGAAGACCTAGCCTCTGAGTGGGAGTAACGGCTCACAGTCTCCGTCGGTGAGATTCCCGGCAGCTTGTAAGTCGCAGCTCAGCTCCTTGACAGCCGCACGCCTATTCCCTCCCAGCTTTCCTCGCCTCTACGATGGATTGTGACGAAATAGAAAATTGGAATGTAAGCTCCACCGGAGCAGGAACCTTAACTAATGCACAGCTTCTCTTCCTCCAGCCCGCCTGGCTCAGTACCGAGCCAAGTGTGAAACCTGTGTGAATTAAATGAAATCCTGTCTCTTTTAGGCCCTCCACAAATTGTTAGGAAAACAAAAACAACCCCTCCCCACCCCCCAAAAAACCAGCATCAAGTCCCGCATGATGGCGCACACCTTTAATCCCAACATTTGAGTGGCAGAGACAGGTGGATCTCTGAGTTTGAGGCCAGCTTGGTCTACATAGAACTTTCCAGGACAGCCAGGGCTATGTAGAGAGATCTCGCTTCAAAAAATCAAACTGGGCATGGTGGTTTAATTCTTTAGTCCCAGTACTTGGAAGTTCAAGGCCACAATTGTCCATACAGGGAACACCCTGACAGCCAAAGCTACATAGACAGACACTGTCTCAAAACAAAAATAAAATGCACCTGTCAGGGACATAGTGAGCACTGGTCTTTACACTCGAGGTCCTAAACACCATCATCCCTATTAGGTAGACCCAGATCAGCTAGGTGGACAGGGAGTCAATAGTAGTGATTGGATTTTATTTTTGGGAGTGTTTCTCTGTGTAGCCCTGGCTGTCCTGGAACTTGCTCTGCAGACCACATTGGCCTCAAGCTCAGGAGATCCACCTGCTTTTTCCTGCAGAGTGCTGGAATTAAAGGCGTGTGCCAAGAGCTCTTATAGATGACCTTCAGTGTGACTAGGGCTGACCCTATTATGGCCTGAGATTCCTGAACCTGCTGGGGGCGGGGGAGTAAGCAGATGGGACATCCATAGGCATGGAGCAATGACGTCAATACTAATCAGGGCAAAATAGCTTATTAACCTTCCTCCAGAGTCTGTGTTAGGTGGGTTGCCTCCATTTTTTCAGTGGCAGGTTTGGATTTGCTGAGGGTCTTAGAAGGTGCCAAAAGCTGGGTCCAAATTCTCTTCTGCTCCCAGCAACAGAGGTCTTGCTTCACTGAATTCAAGAATCAAAGCCACGTGATTTGCGAATACAGATGGAAAACAGGCCCCAACATAGCTTGAGATGTCCTAGAAGCTGCCACCCAGTTAAGAATCCATTAGGCTCCAGTTCAAAGGAAAACTCTGCTAATGAAGTGCTGTTATACTTGCTCCCTTTCTCGGAGGGAGTTGTAGGTACACAGCTCCAAAGCTACCCTGCTTATCAGTGAGGCCCTTCAGAGCCACCAACTCAACCCTTTTGGTTCTGGTATTGGGCACGATCCCACCCAGAAATGACAACATCACTACTGAGGCTGACAGTCTTGCTGTAATTGGGAGGAAACAGGTTTGCAGCACATTTGGCAGATTGAGTCACCAGTAGCCAAAGTCAGGTTTGTGCAGGCAACTGAAGGGCTCAGAGCCTCCTCACCTCACATGGTGAAGAGAGGAAGGCAGTCAAGTTCTAACCCGATGGTAAAGTTGGTCCCTGGGATAGTTTTGTTTCCTTGCCTCACTCTCAAGGAGGCAAAGAGGGGCATTATCTCCCCTTGCTGCCAAAGTTACCTTTGGGGGAGGCTGGTAAGGTTTTATAAAAATCTCCTACTGGAGACAACCTCCTCCACTGGCCCCTAAGCAGGCTTCTGCTCCCAGCTACTTTCACAGCAGAGTCCAAATCCAGAACCAGTGTTTCAAGGGCCTGAGGGTAGGACAGAGTGGCCAGAGACAAGGGTGGGGAATCGGGACACTGGCCATTCTTAGCAGTTCCAAGGAAATGGCCTTTCTCCCAACCACCCTATACAGGCTCAATGGCAGCCATGGCCACTTGCCCTCCCAGAAGGGTCCCAAACCCTCTGTGGAGTGCCTCAGATTGAAGGAGGGTTCAGGCAAGGAAGACCACAAAGATGATGAAGAAGACAATGAGGATGAGGAAGATTTTGACCATGAGCCACCGATTGGAGGTGACTGACTGGAAGTACTTGAGGATCTCTGAATGGGCGGCCTCAACATCCAGCTGGGCTCCAAGCACATTCTCATCAATCCTAGAAATAACAGTCAGGAGAGAAAACAGGACATTGCATTAAAAGAAACACCTCTGACATCCATTTATGGATATGGAAAGGTGATCACAATGTATAGAAGTAAAAACTTTCATATTATGTGGTCTCTTTCATATACATGTATCAGTGTATACAAGTTTACAAGGTTTTTTGGGGAGGGGGTAGTAGACCGTGTTTGGCTAGTTTGAAAACTTTTGAGCCCCCCACCCCCCAAGTCCATATGAGCATTGAAAATGCTGTATTTTTTTTTTTTTTTTAAAGACAGGGTTTTTCTGTGGCTTTGGAGGCTGTCCTGGAACTAGCTCTTGTAGACCAGGCTGGTAGTGAATTCACAGAGATCCACCTGCCTGTGCCTCCCAAGTGCTGGGATTAAATTCGTGAGCCACCATGTATTACAGTTTTGTTTTGGGTTTTTTTGGTCATTTTGGGGGGTTTTCCAGACACGGTTTCTCTGTGTAGTCCTGGCTGTCCTGGAACTCACCCTGTAGACCAGGCCTGCCTCTGTGTCCCAAATGCTGGGATAAAATATATGTGCTATTACCACCATCAAACATTGTTATAATGGAGGTAAAGTTCAGACCACTACAGTAAGAAAATTCTGGTTGGGGGATGGGACAACTTTGACAGGAACTCAAAGAATACTACAAGCCTTATATCCAAAGAACATTTATCTCTGGGGAACAAGTCCTCAGAAGAAGGACGGTTTGAAGACTTATTGAGGCAAACAAAACTTTCCCCAGGCAATCTGTGTACAATCCTGAAACCCAAATATTGTGGCTGGGCACACAGCTCAGTAGGAAAAGTGATTGCTTAGCAACCAAAGTGCTTGCTTGACAAACACAGTACAGTGGGTAGCCAGAGAAAATAGGAAAAAGCTAGGTTTTGTGGCTACCTGAAAAAACCCAAGTTTCAGCTAAGGGAGAGAGACCCTACCTCAAAAGAATAAAGAGTAATAGAGGACATCTGATGCTTTCCTTTGGCCTATGTCATACAAAACACACTCACACACACACACACACACACACACACACACACACACCCTAAAAAGAATTTAAACCCAAATACTGCCCTATGTCACAAGATGTTTCAGATGTCATGCCTACCTATAAAGCATGGCAACCACTAGGAATATACTGCCTACTGACAGTAATTTTACATTTTGTGATGTGTAAAAGCACCTAATGACAATTTTTCAAAGAATAACCTCATCCCTGTGCAATATATGATGAAATACATCCTAGTTTTTGCAGAGGGAAATCCTTGGCCTAGAGCCCTCTAGGAGCAGAGTATGGAACAGGTGGGTCCTAGCAACTTGGCTAGAAATGGAAAGGAGGAGCTGGACAGGGGGCTACAAGCTTAAGGTCCTGAAAAACAAGTAAAAGGTTTAAACTCTTCTCAGAATCTCAAATTCAGAAGCCTGAACTGTGGTTCTTTCTTATGAAGAGTATCATGTTCATAGCTTTTGGCTATAATTACTTCAGTTTTTAAAAATATTTATTATGTATACAGTATTCTGTCTGCATGTATCCCTGCAGGCCAGAAGAGGGCACCAGATCTCATTTTGGATGGTTGTGAGCCATCATGGGGGTGCTGGGAATTGAACTCAGGTCCTCTGGAAGAACAGCCAGTGCTTTTAACCTCTGAACCATCTCTCCAGCCCCTTCATTTTGTTTTTTGAGATAGGTTTTGTATAACCCTGGGTACTGGAAATTATTACCTAGACCAGGCTGACCTCAAACTCACCTCTGAATCTCTGAGAGATTCACCTCTGATGCTTGGGATTAAAGGTATATGCCACCATGCCCAGCCTAATTACATTTTTAAATATGACTACATTTGTTATTTCACAATGAATAAAACTCATAATGGCAGTTATGAGTGGCTTTGCTCAACAAAAACTGACAAACCTATGCAATCTGGTACATGAAAGATTATAGAGGGGGTGGGAAGATGGCTCAGCAGGCACCTGTCTGAGGACCTGACTTTGATCCCTGGGATCCACATGGTAGGAAGGAAGCAACTCCACTGCTACTTGTGCACCTAAGCACACCTGCGTACACAAAGAATTCTGTTGTTTTTGTTTTTTATTTATTTATTTATTTATTTTGAGGCAAGGTCCCACTGTGCAGCCCTGGCTGACCTGGAATTTACTATATAAACCAGGCTGGCTTGGAACACACAAAGATCTCCTGTCTCCAGAATGCTGGGATTAGCCTGGCAGTATATGGCTCATGCCTTTAATCCCAGCATTCGGGAGGCAGAGGCAGGCAGATCTCTGTGAGTTCGAGGCCAGCCTGGTCTCCAGAGCGAGTGCCAGAATAGGCTCCAAAGCTATTCAGAGAAACCCTGTCTCAAAAAAACCCAAAGAAAAGAAAGATAAAAAGGTGTAACAAATAAGGCCAGTCAGGGGTGGTGGAAAGTGGGGTTTTTTTTTGGTTTTTCTAGACACTGTAAAACAGTCATGGCTTTCCTTGAACTTGCTTTTTAGACTCATGTGGTCAGAAAATGATAAAGATATACAGTAAAGACTAATTCAAGCCGGGCGGTGGTGGCGGACGCCATTAATCCCAGCACTCAGGAGGCAGAGGCAGGTGGATTACTGCGAGTTCGAGACTAGCCTGGTCTACAAGAGCTAGTTCTAGGACAGCCTCCAAAGCCACAGAGAAACCCTGTCTCAAAAAACCAAAACTCTAAAGGGTTTACAGTGTATTTAAAAATATATGCAGGTTTGGAAGAGAAAAGAAAAAGAATAAAGTGGTTAAAAAAAAAAAAGAGTAGCTGGGTAGTGGTGGCACAAGCCTTTAATCCCAGCACCTGGGAGGCAGAGGCAGGTGGATCTCTGTGATTTCAAGGCCAGCCTGGTCTACAGAGTGAATTCCAGGACAGCCAAAGTACACAGAGAAACCCTGTCTCAAAAAAACGAAAAAATTAAAGTGAAAGAAAGAATAAAAAAAGAAAAAAAGCTACATAAAGATGGAAAGTACGCCGGGTGTTAGTGGCACACGCCTTTAATCCCAGCACTCGGGAGGCAGAGGCAGGCGGATCTCTGTGATCTCTGTGAGTTCGAGGCCAGCTTGGTCTACAGAGGGAGTGCCAGGTCAGCCTCCAAAACAATACAGAGAAACCCTGTCTTGAAAAACCAATAAATAAATAAATTAGTTAATGATCACAGTCAATCTCTTTCTAAAGAAAAAGAGAATATGATATAGAAATGAATACTTTGCATTGGTATGGATTTTGATTTATTGATACAATTTTTTTTTTTTTTTTTGGCTTTTTGAGACAGGGTTTCTCTGTGTAGCTTTGGAGCCTATCCTGGCACTGGCTCTGGAGACCAGGCTGGCCTCGAACTCAGAGATCCCCCTGCCTCTGCCTCCCGAGTGCTGGGAATAAAGGTGTGCGCTACCAACGCCCGGCTATTGATACAAATTTAAGGTCAATTTGTTATAGGTATATTTCTCTTCTCTTTTAGGTATGTGTATAGAACTTTTAAAAATGTAATGTATAATTAAATACAGATTGTAGTCACCTATAATAGTCAAAACTTATGTTAGATTTTCTAGATATATAGAGATATATTTCAAATGCATATTCTTTAAACCTTTCAAAGACCTACAGAATATAGGGTTTAAAATGGTTTATTAGGGTTTTTCATGACAGTGAAACACAACTGTTCCTGGCAATACCAATTACTTCAGAGAGGAAGACGGGCATCAAAGAAACTCATTATGGAGTTTGCCTTCAACCTGGCAGAAACAGCCATTTGGGCAAGAAACTGCTCTTGCCTGGACTGTTTGACTGTAAGCTGTATAAACTAGACATGCAGGACCCACAGGAAAGTGATTGCTGAACTTGCCAAAACAAGATGGGACAGTCCTGCAGGGTTCCTGTTTCATGGAAGGTGGACAGTTTCAAATTTCCTGTGTCGCTAAGAAGTCTGCCAGACACTCTTGGTCTGTAGGCTGAAGGCTGATGCCCCGTCTTGGTGACTGTCCAGGCATCTAGATGTCTGTCAATTCTAGAGTTTACATATTATACTTCTGAGGTCTTTGATGGATTTGAAGATAGTTATGGTATGGTTTTCCTTAATTACGATAAAAGATAAGTTACATATAAGACTTTAGACTCGGGGTTGGAGAGATGGCTCAGCAGTTAAGAGCACTGGCTCCTCCTCTTCCTGAGTTCAATTCCCAGCAACCACATGGTGGCTCACAACCACCTTGAATGAGATCTGGTGCCCTCTTCTGGCCTGTAAGCATGCATACAGGCAAAGCACTGTATACATCATAAATAAATATGTGATTTAAAAAAAAAAATTTAGACTCACAAAGATAGGATAGATGATATGTTTTCTTTAAATTTTGCCAAATGTTAATGACCTAAATATTGTTAACTATAGTTCTTACTTAATTGTTGTTATACATAATTTTACTTTATATATAAAGTTATATATAACTTTAACTATGTTAAAGTTAAAACCTGAGCTGGGCATTGGTGGCTCATGACTTTAATCCCAGCACTTGGGAGGCAGAGGCAGGCTGATCTCTGGTGAGTTCGAGGCTAGCCTGGTCTACAGAGAGAATGCCAGGACAGCCTCCAAAGCTACACAGAGAAACCCTGTTTCGAAAAAAGCAAACAAACAAAAAGTTAAAACCTATCTTTTTATTTAGACAGAAAAGGAAGAGATGATAGAGGATGCTCTTCTGTATATGTTTTGTTTGTTTGTTTATGTTTTTCAAGACAGGGTTTAGCCTATCCTGAACTCACAGAGATCTGCCTGCCTCTACCTCCCGAGTGCTGGGATTAAAAGCATGCACCACCAATGCCAGGCAAACTTTTTTTTGGGGGGTGGGGTGGGGGATACGTTTCTCTTATTAGTTAATGAATAAAACACTGTTTGGCCAGTAGCCAAGCAGGAAGAACAGGTGAGGCTACCAAACCAGAAGACTGGGGAGAAGATGACAGGGAGGCTGCGGAGATGCCATGCTGTTGAAGTACATGCTGGATTATGGGTAAGCCACAGTTTTGTGGCAATACATAGATGAATAGAAATGGGTTAATAATTAAGACAGAGCTAGCCAAAAAGAAGCCTGAGACATCAGCCAAACATTTTATACTTAATATAAGTCTTTGTGTGTTTATTTGGGGCAAATCAGCTGTGGGACTGGGCGGGACAAAAACCTTCAAGCTAGAATTATAAGTGGTTGTATATCACCTGATATAGATGCTAGAACTGAATATGAAGTCTCTGGAAGAGACTTCTTAAACCACTGAGCAATCTCTTCAGCCTCAGATTTGTTGTGTATATGTATGTGTTTACGTACGTACGTACGTACGTACGTGTGTGTGTGTGTGTGTGTGTGTGTGTGTACACACCCAGGTGTCTATGCACACAGATGACACCAGAAGAGTCAGGTACTGTGTTCTATCATGCTCTAATGTTCTTGAGACAGGGTCTCTCACTGAACCTGAACCTTGCTGCTTTAGCTAGGCGGACCAACTAGTGAGCTCCTATGATATATCTCAGTCCCTCATCTTGCCTATGTTGGAGTTTCAAGTACTGGAGGCCATACTGGAGGCATCAGTGTTGGGAATTTTTGTTTGTTTGTTTGAGACAAGGTTTCTTTGTGTAGCCCTAGCTGTCCTGGAACTAGCTCAGTAGAGCAGACTGGCCTCGGACTAATAGAGATCCACCTGCCTCTTCCTCCCAAGCGCTGGGATTAAAGGCGTGCGCCACCAACACCCGGCCTGGATGCTGGGAATTTTAACTCAGGTACTTAACGCTGGTACAACATGAACTCTTACCTACTGAGTCATCTCCTGAACCCTCTCCACATCTTTTATTCATAGATTCTTAAGGAGGATCCTACTAAATTCCGAAGGTTGGCCTTAAGACTTACCAGGCACCTATACTTTTTTTTTTTTTTTAAAGAGTTTATTTATTTATTATATATACAACATTCTGCTTCCATGTATATCTGCACACCAGAAGAGGGCACCAGATCTCATTCAAGGTGGTTGTGAGCCACCATGTGGTTGCTGGGAATTGAACTCAGGACCTCTGCCAGAGCAGCCAGTGCTCTTAGCCTCTGAGCCATCTCTCCAGCCCCAGGCACCTATACTTTTAACACTGAAATTTAGTTTATTATCCTAATATTTAGGAGATGAAGGCAGGAGATCAGAAGTTCAAGGCCAGTCTCAGTTACACAGGAACTACTAACTATATAGTGACAGCCTGTCTCAAACAAACATAAAAATTTACATTTGAAATTTTAAATTTCTTGGCTTAACAACAGAATGAAGATTAACACCGAAAACATGTTTCTGTTTATTTGGGCTTTTTTGGGGGGGGTGGGGGCGGGATTTCACCAGTAGACCTGACTGGCCTGGAATGTGCTACATAAATCAGACTGGCCTCAAACTCAGACATCTAGGGATTGGAAAGATAGTTCAATTTAAGAGCATTTGCTACTTTTGCAGAAGCCCTGGGTTCAATCACCAGCCCCACACGGTGTTTCACAATCATCTGTAACTCCAGTTCCCAGGGATCTGATGTCTTCTTCTCACCTCTCAGGGCACCATGTTGCACATACACAAATACAGCAGAAAACTCACACACATTAAAAAAAAAAAAAATCAATCTAAAAACACTAAACCAGAATAACAACAAAACTCAAGAGATCTGACTGCTTCTACTTCTGGAGTACTGGGATTAAAGGCATATGCCACAACATCCATTTCTCATAAAATTATTAAATTTTTTAAAAATTAGATTCATTCATTTTTTTAAAACTTAGTTAATGTGTTTTGCATGTTTTACTTCACTTGCACAGGTTATCTGTGGAGGCCAAAAGAGGACACTGAATCCCCTAGAACCAGAGTTAAAGATGGCTGTAAAACACCATGTGGGTACTAGCAATTGAACACAGGTCCTCTGGAAAAATGAACAAGTTCTCTTAACTTAATGCTGAGCCTTCTCTTTTAGTTTTTGAAATAGTGCTTGACTACACTTATAAAACTGGCCTTGGACTCCTGGGCTCAGACAATGCTCAAGAAAGGTCAGCACACTGTGCTCCCTTCTCAGCTGTGTTTTGTTTTTATAACACTTTTATTTATTACTATGGAGGGAGAGGCACAGATGTAGCAGAAAGAAGACAACTCTGTGGCATTGGTCACTCCTTTCTGATTGCAGTGATCAAACTCCTGTCACTAGACTTATGCAGAAACTTCCTTTATCCATTGAGCCAGCCAGCTGATTCCACCAGTTGCTTTCTTTCCCTTTTTCTATGATTCTGAAGACTGATCCTAAGCCTTCATATATAGTAGGCAAACTCTCTACAACCAGGCTGTATTTCCAGGCCCTCGGTCTTTTTTTTTTTTTTCTTTTCTATTTATTTATTTTTGTTTATTTGTTTTTCCAAAGCAGGGTTTCTCTGTGTAACAGCCCTTGCTGTCCTGGAACTAGCTCTGTAGAACAGGCTGGCTTTGAACTCACAGAGATATGTCTGCCTCTGCCTTCAGAGTGCTGGGATTAAAGGTGTGCACCGCCACCACCTTTTACTAAAAAAAAGAAAAAAAAAGGGGGGGGTCTCAGGCTGGAGAGATGGCTCTCACTGGTTAACTCTATGGAACTCACTATGTATACTAGGCTAGTCTCAAACAAGAGATCCGCCTGCTTCGATTAAAGGTGGCACTACCATATCAGGCCCTCAAAAAACTCTTACTGAATGAGTAGAAGCAGGTGAATTAGGACTCATGGGAGGGAAGGATTCACTCATTCTTCAAAGACCACCAAGCTGCCCCTGGGAACTTCAAGATGCTAATTCATGAAGAAGAGAAAGTTCTAATACATGGGTGAGAGTGTCTTACCTCTGAATAGTTTCCTCCTGTTCTTTCACCATGTGTGCCAACTGCTGAAAAATGGAGCCCAGCTCAACGATTGTAGACTCGATGTTCTGCATGGTATCTGCCCGGCTCTGGATGTAGGAATCCTTCACAAGAGAGAGCACCATGAACTAGGGCCTGGGTTTTTAAGATCTTTTCACCATGACACACTCCAAACACTCTGGGGAACACAGAAGACAGAGGAACTGATCCTCCTGATTTCAGAGCCTGGGTACCTGCTCGTCAATGAGCTGAAGCTGCTGGCTTGTTCTAGAATCCATCATGTCGATGGCCACATCCCTGGAGGCTCGGGACTCTGCTCCCAAAACTATGGGTCCTCCCCCTAGGGAAGAAATAAGACGTGGCACATTTTAATGATTAAAAGCAGGTTCAGGGCCTGGCATGGTGACACATGACTTTAATCTCTGCATTCCTGGGGCTTAGGCAAAAGGATCTCTGAGTATAAGGCTAATCTACATAGTGAGTTCCAGGACAAGACTACAAATTGAGACCCATTCTCACAACAACAAAATGCCATGCAAGCAGTGCACAGTGGCATATACCTGTTATACTAGCAATAGGGATTTTAAGGTAGGAGGGTCAGGTCAGTCAGTCCTCAGCTAATGACAAGCTAGAGGCTAGCCCAAGCTACATGAAACCCTAGCTCTAAAAACAAAGCGAACAAAACACATTCAAAACTCACTGGCACTAGGTTTAAATCCAGCTCTAGATAGACTAACCTCTCTGAATCTCAATTTCCTCATCTGTAAAATGGAGCTAACAATAGTTGCTTTCTAAGGATGGATGAGAAAATTAAGAGAATGTGACTGACTACACAAAAAGTCAGACACTGTCATTCTTCTGAATATGTGAGTGTGGATCATGAAACTTTAGAACCAGGTTTATCCTCTGAGATAATGCCTAGCACCATCCTGGCTCTTCCATTCTCCTGCTCCACACCTACCAGCGCAGTCAGAAGACCTTAGCTCCTAGGCTTCCCATATTGCCTCTGACTTACCAAGGTGGTTGGGGGCAAGGGGCAGGGCCGACACTGGTGTCCGGGAGAACTGTTCCCGACGGTTCCTCTGTTGTTTCAGGTTCTGATGTTGGGGGGAAATGCAAAGGTCCTGAGTCTCTGGAAAGTGGGTATGTTGACCCCATGACTCTGGGTAACTTGTCCCTTCCCCTTTTCCTCTTGGTCCATATCACAGATTCCTACCCACCTATAGATCCAACTTACCTCAGTCCTCACTTCTAAAACTGATTTGAAGTCATTGGACATGGAAGCCAGTTTTGACTATAAAAAGCAAGGAAATTTGGTCATTCAAAGAAGATACTTTTTGTTATCCCCTTCCTTACTCCCTCCATCCCCAGGGTCCCACCTGCAATGAAACTACAATGGTGTTGGAATGTGTCTGCAGATGCCGGCCACTCTGGCTGCCCTTGGCCCTCACAAAATCTTGAAGTTGAGCAATTTGTTTGTTGAGGCTATTGATGTCCTGTTAAAAGACCAGAAGAAGAGTATCAAGCAGGGAGTCTTCAGTCATTGACCCTATCTGTGCCATCTCTGGCAGGGAGGACAAAATAACCCCTACTAGTAAAGTGTCTAGTCAGATCAGGTGGCAACAGGACTCTCCAAACTCTGGTCATTCCTTGCAGAAAAAGGAATGACTTCTCTGCCCTCTTCCTTTCTGCTATACTTTACCCTATGAGGTCATAGAACCCTTCAAAGGCCAAAATCTTGTACCTAGAACATGCTGACAGATTACTTGAATAAAACCCAGGAAAAGGCTCGTTGTGGTGATGCATTCTGATAGGATTTTCTGAAGGAGGTGGAGGCAGGAGGATCACGAGTTCGAGGCCAGCCTAGGCTACACATTGGCCAGGCAGTGGTGGTGCACACCTTTAATCCCAGCACTCAGGGGGCAGAGGCAGGTGGATCTCTGTGAGTTCCAAGGCCAGCAGGGTCTACAAAGCCAGTTCTAGGACAGGCTCCAAAGCTACACAGAGAAACCCTGTCTTGAAAAAAAAAAAAAAAAAAAAAAGCAGGAAACCGCAAGAAGCAAATTTTTGCACAGAATGTCTAATATTACAAATGATTAGCTGTGATTTATTCAAACTCATATACAGTGACTTCATATCACAGCCATTGTGTCACCTACATCCCATTCTCCCCAATGAGGGCAGAAAAAAACCTGTCCCAGTGTACTATGACCCAGGGAGGTATCAGAGAGGAGGACATGCAAGGCATCAAGAATAGGAGTATGAGAGCCAGGAAGATGGCTCAGCAGATAAAGGAGCTTGTTGCCAAGCCTGGAAACCTGAAAACCACCCCAGGGACTCATACAAGAGAAAGAGATAACCAACTCCACATGCATGCCATGGTACTCAGGCACCACCACCCAAAACCACAATATAACTTAAAGTTTTAAAGTATGCTGGACGGTGGTGGCAGCACTTGGGAGGCAGAGGCAGGTGGATCTCTGTGAGTTCGAGGCCAGCCTGGTCTACAAGAGCAAATTCCAGGGCAGACTCCAAAGCTACACAGGGAAACCCTGTCTCAAAACACCCCCCCAACACTCCGCCCCCCAAGAAAAATCTTTAAAGTATGAGAAATTGATCAAAGATAAAATTTAAGCATTTTTAAAGGCTTCCCAAGTAGACCCAACTTTACACCTCTCCAGAACCCTGAACTCATATTCACTGATAACCCAGATACACTGCAGAGTCTGTTTGCTTGCCATAATAGCTCGTTCCTTTGGGCTCTCGCTTAGGTAAAATACTATTTCCCATGCAAAAACTCAAGGTAAAAGCTTCTAATCATCTAAATTTCCTTAGCCTACCTACATGCTATCATAAAACTACAATCTATGATACTGACTGGACAGGTAAGATCACCTGACCAGAACCATAATCGACTAAGTACTATGTACTAAGTACTGTGTCAAATATAACAAGAGGCCTGAGGATGTGGGGCAGCAAACACAGGCCCTGGGTTTCTTCCCTGCACCCAACCAAAGCAATTAAATAGCAACAACAAAAAACCTCATTAGCTGTTTTTATTTATTTACTGTTTATGCATCTTACAACATTCTCTCCTTTCCCTAAACTTAACATAGAAAACTCTTCTACTTAACAACTCCTAATCTGTGCCCTCAAAGCCACATCCCCTCCAGCTTTTTTTTCCATTTTAGTAAATGGCATCGCCGTTCACCAGGCACCCAGCTGGTCATGGTGTCTTATACTTCTAACCCCACCTGAGGTAGGCAGACTGCAATGAATTTAAGGTCAGCCTAAATTACAGAATGAGACTCTATATTAAAATACAAACAAATGGGCTCTAGTGGTGGCACAGTGGTTAAGTGTACTTGCTACTCTTAAAAGAGGACACAGGGGCTGGAGAGATGGCTCAGAGGTTAAGAGCACTGGCTGCTCTTCCAGAGGTCCCGAGTTCAATTCCCAGCAACCACATGATTGCTCACAACCATCTGTAATGAAATCTGGTGCCCTCTTCCCTCTTCTGAGATGCAAATAGAGGCAAATGTGCAAGTAGAACATTGTATATATAATAAATAAATAAAATCTTAAAAAAAAAAAGAGGACATAGATTCAATTTCCAACAGGCATGCGGTAGCTCAAAACCATCTGCAACTGCAGTTCTGGGGCATCCAATGCCCTCTTTAGCCTCCACAGGTATCAAGCATACCTGTAGTACAAACAGATACATGTACACAAAACACTCATATACATTTTTTTTAATTTTTTTTTAAGGCTGGTAGTACATGTTGTAATTTAAGCAGGACAAGGACTGGAGAGATAGCTCAGCGGTTAAGAGAACTGACTCGTCTTCCAGAGGTCCTGAGTTCAATTCCCAGCAACGACATGGTGGCTTACAACCGCCTTGAATGAGATCTGCATGCAGGCAAAAGACTGTATACATAATAAATAAAATCTTAAAAAAAAAAAGACTTAAAAAAAAAAAAAGAAAAGCAGCACAAGAGAGAAAGACGCCATGCAACAGGATTCAAGCAGAGAGGATTTTTATTAGGGAAAGGGATCATAAAAAGGGAAAGGGGAAGGAGGAGGGAGGAGACTGGCCTGCGGGGACAGAAGCAGCAGGAGAGAGGAAAGAGAGGCAGAGGGGCAGGGGTGTGTGTTTGGGGGGGTGGGAGGTGGTCAGAGCCCTTTTAAAAGGGAACATAGTGAATAGGCATAGGTGGTTCTCTTAGTGGCAGCAGCTGAGGGTGTGTCCTGTCAGGACACAATGGGCAGGCCAGCAGAACCCTGAATACTAACAGTCCATTCCTTTAATCCCAATACTTGGGAGGCAGAAGCAGGCAGTTCTATGATTTCAAGGTCAGCCTGGTCTACATAGTAAGACACTGTCTCCAAAAAAAAAAAAAAAAAAAAAAAATGAACAAAATAAAAAAATACCTCTATCCCCCTTTTCCTCTAATCCACCTGGAACCATTAGTAGCCCACATAGAACCCAACTGATTCCAATACAAACTTTGTTTTGTTTCCCAGTATATTCTAAATCTATCCACATTATCTCCATTTCTACCTCATATACCCTAACCATCTTCTCTACTCAAAAACCTCCAAGAGCCTCTTAAATGTGCCTTCTTTCTGGTCTGCCTTCCTATTACCTACTGCATTAATAGTGGCCAATGTGATCTTCAAAACCAAATTCAGGGTATTGTCATCCCTTTGCTTGACAATGTCCTAAGAGCTTATCACTCAATTTAGAACACAACCTAAATGCCTGAGCTGCTTTACACAGGCCTGCTGTTTGCACTGCCTAGTTCTCTCAGCCCTCTGCTTGTCTCACTGTTGGACGCTACCCACAGTGAGATCTTTCCTTTTTCCATGCTCATTTTCCACATTACATTCCCACTTTCTGGAATGCACTCCCACCAGATCACCAAATGGACTGCTTTTCTTCACTATCCAGACATTGCTCAAGTATCACCTCTTCAGCCAAACCAGCTTGGATCAACCAACCCAAGGTAGTCTCAGCCTTGAAAACCCAGT